CACTCGATGTGTCCCTTTCACATCGATGTTTCTCTCTCTCTCTCTCTTCCTCTCTCTCCCTCCCACTCTATCTGTGCAAAAAATGGAAAAAAAAAAAAAATGTCCTCGGGTGAGGATAAAAAAAAAAAGAACTGGGAAATATCACTCGAATATCTTAATTTCACATAATAATCCAATTTTAACCAGTCATCTATGACAATCTAAATGTTTGGCCAAAATCCTATGTTTATATCAAATCCAAAATCCTAGCTTATATCAACTCTTGGGGAAAGCAGTGTTTTAAGTTTGCTTCTACTATCTGAAAATTCTTATTTATTTAAATTTACTTCTCCATATAATACTATGAAGTACGTAAATGACATTGTTGGTTACTATCCCTTCAATCATCTACCTAAATTCTTCCTAGACTGAAATGCCAGAAATTAGATTTTGCTGCCCCCTTGCAACTAGGGCATGGGCGTGCCAGGATAAACATCTGATACTGGTCATCTATAAAAGGTTTACTTGCCTAATCAAGAGATAAGAGGGCAAACTTCCTCCTGTTTTTGGTGGGTGGCTACGTGAGAATGTGATGCATGGGGCAGAAAGAGCAATCTGTAAACATGAGAGGGCAAGCCTAAGCACAGCGGTCACCACACTAAGAATAAAGGTGAAAAGGACCTGGATCCTTGATAGCATCGTGCAGTTCTAACCATGACTAACCATGGAATCCTCCAACCCTGAATTTTATGTGAGATACTGTTTAAATCACTGTTAGTTGGGTACTATATAACCTTGGGGCTGAACTAATACAAGATACATTCAAGGTCTGACAACTGATTCAAAGTGGGAGAAGAGCCAAAATGACTGTAAGGTTTCAAGACTGGGTGGCTGAGAGAAAGGTGGTTAGGAAAGAGAAAATACACACATGCACATGTAAACAGACTAGGTGAGGGTAGGTGGGTGAAAATCAAATGGTTTAGCCTTGGCTGGTTTGGCTCAGCGGTTAGAGCATTGGCCTGTGGACCAGAGAGACCCGGGTTCGATTTCTGCTAAGGGCACGTACCTCAGTTGCAGTTTGTCCCCAGCCCCAGTTGGGGTTGTGTGGGTGGCAGCCAGTTGATGTCTCTCTCTCACGTCGTTATTTCTCTCTCTCTCTTCCTCCCTTTCTCCCTCCAGCTCTATCTGAAAATGAATGCAAAAAAATGTCCTTGGGTGAGGATAAAAAAAAAAGAAAAAGAAAATCAAATGATTCAGTTCGGTATGGCTTACAGTAACACATGTAGGATAGTGATATACAGTGAGCAGTGGAAGTGGGAACTAGAGCTATAGAATTGAGAATCACCCACACAAAATGATGATTTATATTGTTAAAAAAATGATATGGCCCTGGCCAATGTGGCTCAGTTAGTGGAGTGTCATCCTCTACACCAAAAGGTGGAGGGTTCAATTCTCAGTCAGGGCACAGATTACATACGGGGAGGTCGGGGTGTGTGAGGGAGGCAACCAGTAGATGTTTCTCTTTCACATTAATGTCTGTCTCTCTCTCCCCGTCTACACTCCTTCCTTTCTCTAAAAATCAGTAAGAAAAAGGAAAAAAAAAAAGAATCCGATCACCAAAAGAACCCAGTGAAAAGCACAAAGACCCTTGAGGACACTGTCTATTCTACCTCTCTCTCATTTTAGATGGAATTCATTCACTGGCTAGGCCAATTAGAATAATTTCATCTCTCTTGACAAAGATATTGTATCAGATATGGCAGCATGATCTTCTTTGGTTATTCAATAGAGTCAAGGACTTTTTGGAAAAGTGTGAGAGAGAAGCTTCTCTCTCCCTTTGGAAATAAAGAAGGCTATAATATGAACACTGCAGATAGCCATCTTTTTCTTAGGAGGGAAGCCAGTCTGAGCATGAAGCCCAAACAGGTGGACAAAGTTGACAGAATAGCAGAAAATGGAATCTCAGTTCTGATGACATGAGCCTATGAACAAACTATTCTTTAAGACAATTCTATCTATGCTTTTGCCACTTACATGAGCCAATACATTTCTCTTGTTTTTAAATCCAGTTTGCACCCTAAATGATGTAGAGTAGGAAAGAGCTATGTTTTAGGGAAAGAGCAAAGTTAAAATGATGCAGGAAACATGAAGAAACTTTCAAAGTAGGAGAATTAGGAACTACAATGCAGAAGAATCAAGATCATTTATTTCATAAATGGTCTAAGGAAACTAAGGATGACTGAGGAAAGGTCATTAGATTTGGTGATTAGGAGGTCATAAATGACTTTTCAATAGCAATTTCAGTGCTGAAATAGTAAAGGAAATCAAGAGTACAAAGGAAAAATTAACTTATATATTTATTAAGAACTCCATCATATACCACACGCTTGGATGGACATTTAACATATGTTAAACTCCTTCAATTACAACTCTGTGAGATAAGTATAACATTTTACTTTAATAGTTAAAGAATAGAGTCTGAGTAGTAACTTGCCCAGCCACTAAGTGGTTTTAACAGCCTTCAAAAACCAGATCTATCTGGCTCAAAAGTTAATGATCTTGCTACTATATCAGGCTAGTGGGAAGAAAGAATGAGTCTTTTAAAGAATGAAAATACAGTGGCAGAGCAGGCTCAAGATTCAGATTAGCTTCCTTAAGTTACGAAGCACACAGCTCTGCATTTGGCAGCCCAGGAAAAGATATAAGCATGGTATGTAGGCTAGAGAGGGAAAGGTTGGAAGGAGTGATAACGGACAGTTCTAGAGAAAGAAAGATGAGGAGGGATGATCATGGACATCTCTGGAGGGGGTTGCTCTTGAAAAGAAGGAGGTCATTTCTTCCTTTAGATAAGGGTAAATAAGGAAATGATACTGAGATGGAAGAAAGGGAAGTAGAAGGAGTACACCTTAGATGACTAGGATTTCTCTCACTAAAGGAAAAGATCAAGTTATTAGCTATGGAAACCTTTATGAAATGAGACAAAAAGGAACACTAAAGATTCAGCAGAGAGTAGAGCACAAATTGCTCTATATGAAAACTAATATATATGAAAACTAATATAACTTACAAACTGTCTCTTGCATCCTTCAGTATTTCAGGGGTCAAAATGACAAAGCTAGTGATGGGTCTTATTCAGGATTGAAGATTACAAAGGTAAACCTACAGAAAGTAAACCATCCTAGGGCATCAGTAAGAACTTGGTCAAGGCTAATGACCAAGGGATTCTGGTTATACAGGGAAGCAAATGAAGTCAGCAGTAGACGAATGGGTTGGATGAACAGAGAGTTTGCAAAGAGGAGTTCATAACAAGAGGGTGAGAGAGAGAGAAAATAGGTTCTGTAAGAGTGGAAGAGTGAGATATTTTAAGGAGTGTTCATGGTTAGAAATGTCTTTTCACACAATGCTTCAAATTATTTTGTCAAAGGCAGTGAGCCATTGATTGGGACTCAGCAGTCCTACTCTTTCTTCAGCCAAAAAGCACAGAACTGAGAGACAATCAGTTCTAAAAACATTCAGGCCTTGGTTGTAGAAAAGTGAAGTCCAGCAACAAATAAATGAATGAACCAGCCATACACTCAAACATAAAAATATCTCCCTTTCTTTTAAACTGAAAAATTCTCTAAATTTGAGAAAATTATTAAGAGGTCATAAAGTCTACAGCAAAGGAGAAAAACATGTGTCATGAGGTCGAATTTTTGTAAACAAATATGTCAAGCCAGTTATAACTCACATGTTAAATGTTTTTAGTATGTAATTCCAAAAGGGCAAGGATAGTTTGTACTTGAATAACTTGAGAGCACCCAGCATAGCTTAAACAAAATGACATTACTCATTTCATGTTAATAAAAAGGGTCCATCCATTTGTAATCATAAAGGACATGCTACCGTTTTTATTATAATGCCACTTTTACAATTTTGACGCTCTTGAAAAAATTATCCAATTATAGGAAATGATGGAAGAATCAGCCATGGCAACTTCCTCCACTACTACCACTACAGTTTTGCAGTTTACACTTAGAAACTCCGGCACCATACCACATTATATAGCACAGTTCCTTATACCATTAGTTGACTCCCCCTTGCACCAGTAATAAAGGAGGGAGATCTAAGGCTGGCACAGACTCAAGTTTATAGACTATATCAAGTACGATAAGGGTTGTTCAGTAGTAGCCACAATGGAGAAACCAAGAAATTTGAAAAGTTTTGAGTTTAAAAGCTTTTCTCCATTTTATTCCTTGCTAAATAAAACAAAGGGCTTGTACAATAAGGGATTCTTCAGTAGGTAATTTAATCTAACACTGAATAAAAGAATAACTCACTTATCCCTTCTTGTGTAATTACATGTTATTTTACATTCATAAGGCCTTCTTTTTAAAAACGAACACGTCTCAATTCTTCCACTAGATCTAGAACGTTTACGCCGCTCCTGAAAAGCTCAGACACTAAATAAAGATTTACTATAGTCAGAAAGAGATTACTGGAGACGGACAATCATTTGCCATCACAGACACCATTCCTCTACTCTGCAGGACTTCGACGGGCCGAGGAGTCCAGCTCTCCCAAACCATCCCGGTCTCCTGGGGACTCAAGTCCCTCTTCAAGATGAACAAAATTCACTGGCTTCTAGATAACAAGCCTTTTCTTTGTAACTCTATATGCAGGGCTATCGGGTAATCTTCCCAGTTAAAAACTTTTAAAGGAAAAAGGTCGAAACGAGGAAGAGGGGGGAGGCGACTGAAACAGGAGGGGCGGACGACCCACCCACCGCTCGGAGCCCGCTCGGAGCCCGCTCGGAGGGGTGAGCCTCCCCGGGGCAGGAAAGGTACGGGGGGCGGCAGGCGTCACGACCCCCACCCGCGGTGTGAGAATGGAGGCCCGAGGGGGCGCGGCGCGGGGAGGGGGTGGGACGTGGACACCGGAGAGCCGCGGAGTCGGGCCGAGCAGCACCGGGGTCCCGAGCAGCAGCGGGGCAGAGCGAAGATAGCCGGGGAGGAGACGCCGATGCCTGCAGCCTCACTCACCTGCCACACGTCCGCCCCGCGGCCAGAAGCACGGACGCCGCCCGGGCGCTTCCTCTCCTGCGGGACACAGCCTTTGCCGCCGCCGGAGCTCCAGAACGCGGGAGTAGAGAGTGGTCCCGAAGCGGGCAAAGCGGCCTCCGCACCCGAGCCCAGGGAGGCGTACATAGGGGGGCCCGGGAAGGCAACTCCTTGTTCACCTTCCTCACCGGTACCCACGAACGCTCCCCGGGAACAGCATCGCGCCAACCTCGGCCCGCTGTTCCCGGGCGAAGCCCGCAGCTCCCCCCAGCAGCGGCCGGGTTTCCGGCGGCAACACTCCGCCCCCTCGCTACTTGGCCTCCGCCATCTTGGTGGAGGCGGGAAGAATACGGTGCGCATGCGTATTTCGGGATTGCCGGCGTCCCGTCCTGCGAAGAGGGGACTGGAATGCGCAGCCGTGTTGGAGCCTACGCTCTGGCCCTACGGTCCAGCTTCATCTCCCTGTCGCGTGAACTATTGCTACTTGGAGGCTGAACCTCGAAGACCTCAGACCTACTTGTTTCTGGAACCGTGCTGCAGCCAAGTTAACAGAACCTTCTGCGCACCTCAGTTACTCTGCAATCATTTATCCAATGCCTACTGTGTGTTAAGCCCTCTGTTAGGCGCTGATGATAGGTTAATAAAACCTGGCTCCAGCCCTTTAGCAGCTCCTAATCTAGTGAAGGAGACGCAGCTGAATAATTACCTAAATTCCAGTTTTGTAGCTGTGCACTCCCATACACAGTTTTAATTCAAAACATGCCTTCTAAGGAAGTCCTCCCTGCTTGTCTCATAGATTGATCAGTTCTTCACCTTGCATTACCTCTCTAGCTTAAGTCCATTCAACATTAATTGAACAAATAATATTTGAATTTTCATTATATACTAGAAACTGATCTAGTCTCTAGGTTTATAGCAGTAAGAAATAGAAGCTCATGAAACTCACATTCTAGTTTGAAAGAATAGCCAATAAAAGGCTAAAATAAGTCAACATTACAAGGGATGGGAAGAGAGCAAACCACAGGGGCTAAGAGTCACATGAAGATTTGGGTTAGAGCCTTCCAGACAGAGGGAACAGCAAGAGCAGAGGCTTGGAGTAGGAATGAGACCAGCTGTAGGAAGACAGAGAGAACAGGTGAAATGGACAGTAGGAGGAGATGTGGTCAGAGGGAGGTAAGGACCAAATAAGGCAGGACACTGAGGGCATGGTAGGAGTTGGATTTTACTCCAAGTGGCCCCCCTAACTTGCTGACACTGCCCCAACTACTCTTCAAACACCCCTAGTTCCTGTCTGCCTCACTGTTTTGCACATGCTGATTCCACTGTCTTGAAGACCCTTACTCTTGTTCTTTAGGCATCTAGCTTGTCATCTTTCGGGTTTCAGTTTAAATGTCACCTCAGAAAGAACATTCTTCCTAACCTAAGTCTCCTTCATGCTCTCCCATTAGTCTCCATCATTGCACCTGATCATTTCTTTCATGACACTCAGCATATTTTGAAATGATACATTTATTGTCTCCTCTTTAAACTGTGAACTCCATGATGGGGGAAGATGGTTTGTTTACCAATGAATACCCCATGTTCAGCACCATGCCTGACATGGAAGGTCACTCAATGTTTGTTGAATTAACAAATGGTTTGTCAGTGCCTAAGTAGTCAGGAGCATATTACTTTGTTTTTTACTTGTTGGTTTTTAGAATTAAATGTAATTCATTTCCTATTAATATGTCTCCTCAGCTAGATCATAAATAGAACTTTGGAAAAGGGGATGGGAATGAGATGGAGAAGAGTAGGTGATGATGTGGCAGTGTGCAAAAGTTGTATCGCATATGTTTGTAGGGTTGGAAGAAGCAATTTAATGGAGCACCTATTATATGTGCTGTGTACTATGTTAGGTACTTAATCTTCACCAGAGCTCTGCTAGGTAGTTATCCTCATTTTTTTTTGTCCTCACCCAAGGACATTTTTCCATTTTTTGTTCAGATAGAGTGGAAGGGAGAGAGAGAGAGAGAGAGAGAGAGAGAGAGAGAGAGAGAGAAACATCAACGTGAAAGGGACACATCGAGTGATTGCCACCCGCATGACCCAACCAGGGCTGGGGACAAACTGCAACTGAGGTACATGCCCTTAGCAGGAACCGAACCTGAATCTGTCTGGACCGCAGGCCGACGCTCTAACAGCTGAGCCAAACTGGCCAAGGCTATCCTCATTTTTATGCACAGGGTAATTCAGAGAGATTAAGTCACTTGCCCAAGGTCACATATTAAAAAATAATGCTGACCCTATAGCCCATGCTTTTTCCATCTAGAGAAAACGGATTTGGAGATGGGCTTATTTGGTGATTTGGCTCTGTGTCATTAGCCGACTTCCATTAGAGATTTCAGTTACTGCCATTTAAGAATCCCAATCAAATTACTATTTTTGTATAGGATCTCACACAAAAAAAAAACACCTACTTTCATTCTTTTATTTTAGATGGAAGCAGAGCTTATTTTACCATTTCCTTTTAATGTGTTTAAGAATTGTTTGTTTCAGTCCTGACCAGGTAGCTTAATTGGTTAGAGAGTTGTCCAGATACAGCAAGGTTGCAGATTTGATCCCTAGTCCAGACACATACAAGAATCAACCAGCCAATGCATAAATAAGTGTAACAACAAATCTCTTTCTCTCTCTCTTTCTCTCAAATCAATAAATTAAAAAAAGATTTATGTATTTTTTTTATTTATAACTTCAATATGTTTCATCAAAGGACAAGAGACACCAGAAAAATGGATGTATATCCTGAATACTAACAGTATTCTCTAGGTTAAGCTTGTTACTATACTACTAGCTCTCTCATCTAGGTTCCAAGTAATACTTTAGACATCAAAGACAGTTCTATGAAAAACAGTGACAGGCTCACCGCAACAATCACATCCCATTTATTCATCAGAATTACACACCATCATTTCTGTCTAAACATAGTAGCTGCTGCAGGATAGCTGGAGAGAACCACGAGAAAGGATGGGGCTTCTATCTTACATACCAGGGCCGTTGGGTCCTTATATAAGGGAAGTGATATACTATAACTCATGATAACATACACTTGTCAACACAATGTAGTTAGTATATGCAAACCAAGTAGTATGTGGGAATGCATACCTAAAAAGACTCCCCACCTTCTACCCCACTGCAGTCTAATTCTACCTTGGACTAAACCCTGGAATCAAAACAATTTCTTCCTTTTCTATGGTATTTTCTCCTCTTATAGGTTGAATATACTGGCCAAAAAAACAACCCCACAAAAAAATGATATGTTGAGGTCCTAACCTCCAGTACTAAGGAATATGAACTTATTTGGAAATAGGGTCATAACAGATATAACAGTTGACATCTGTAACAAGGGTATAGTTGACCCTTGAACAACATAGAGGGTATGGGTGCCAACCTCCTGTGCAGTAAAAAATCTGCATGTAACTAGTAGCTAAGTTACATGAGGTCATACTAGAGTAATGTGGACCCCTGATCCAATAACTGGTGTTCTTTTAAGAAGACAGCCATATGAAGAAAGAAACACACAGGGAGAAAGCTATGTGATGACAAAGGCAGAGATGGAGTTACAAAGCTACAAGCCAAGGAACACCAAAGACTGACAGCAAACCACCTGAATTTAGGAAGAGGCAAGCAAGGAATTCCGTATAGGTTTCAGAGGGATGGTGGCCTTGCCAATACCTTGATTTTAGACTTATAGACCCCAGAACTATGAGACAATAAATTTTCATTGTTTAGCCCGGCCGTTGTGGCTCAGCAGTTGGGCGTCAACCCATGTACCAAAAGGTCGCTGGTTTGATTCTGGGTCAGAGCACATGCCCAGGTTGTGGGCCCAATCCCCAGTGGGGGGCATGCAGGAGGCAGCCAATCAGTGTTCTCTCTCATCAATGTTTCTCTCTCTCCCTCTCCCTTCCCTTCTCTCTAAAATCAATAAAGAAAATTTAAAAAAAAATTTTTTTTATTGTTTTAAGTCACCCATTTTGTGGCATTTTGTTATAGTGGTCCTGGACAATAATACACCATTTTATGTATATGGCAGGGCCTGAAATAGAGGAAAGAGGTAGGAGTGGGCAGTGAGGCAGTCTGGGCTATTGCCCCAATTTGGCAGCAAACCAGCTACAGGACCTCAGACCAGTCACTCGACCCCACTGACCAACTTCCCTCATCTGTATGAACAGGGATAATGATAACTGCTCTGTCTACCTCAGTGATCTGCAATGATAACTAATAAGTATTCCTCCAGAGATTCTGTGACCAAGACAGCCTGACAGCTACTGAGAAACAATTTTGCAAAGACAGGGTTTCTGCTACAAAGAATTTTATAGTCTGGCTGTGAAGAAAGGCACTTTCCTATAATAAGATAACTAGCACTGGCCAGGTGCCAAGTGTGTGGTTTGGATCTGATTCACTATTGATGTCAAAAGCAGGAAGGATCATTGTGGACTGGTCTGGACAGGGGAAACTTCATGAAGGACCTTAGCAACAAAGGAATTTATTAGAAGGATACTGGATACCTTCATGATCTTCAGGATCAACACTCAACATTATGCCCAGAACTATTCCTAAGAAGCCACCACTACAGCCACTGCTGGTTACAGATACCAAAATTGGGACCACCAATACCACTTGACCTAGACACTGGATGATGCCACGGCTGCCCCTGGAAACTAGATACAGTTACTGTCACTGTCACTACTCTCAGTAGGAAGAAGGAGGGTCACTGTGACTTCACCACACTAGTGTTTGGTCCCAACCCTGGGGACAAATGATTGACATAATCCAGTAATATGTTAACATTCTAGCTCAATGCTGTCCAGTAGAGATATAATGCAAGCCATACATATGATCCCAAATTTTCTTGTAGCTACATTAAGAAAATTAAAGAAGAAAGCCTTTTTATGAAGATGGCGCCGAAGGCAAAGAAGGAAGCCCCCGCCCCTCCTAAAGCCAAAGCTAAAGCAAAGGCTTTCAAGGGCTCAATAGCTGTATGGGGCCAGTGGCTATCATATCTGGTAGCCCAGTTCTAACTGATAGAGAGGCCATAAAAATGAGTGTATGGCCTTTTGAGTTCCATGGTGTGATATGGGTCCTGCTTCATGAAGAGGGCAATTTCCCAAACACAGAAAGAGGATTCACATGCAGTATTGTGAATGGAAGATGAAGTTGAAGGAAAACCAAGACTGGATTGTAGAGAAAGCAAAATGGTGAACTAAGGACTTTTATTATTAA